TGCGAGGGGGGAGGGGTGGGTGATAAGGATAAGAAAACAAAATGACGATGTTGGTAGTAATGAAAATGTAAAATGTAAATATGCTGATGAAAATATGTCTGACTCAGAAAACTTATACATGTATAGAATACGGATGTTATAAAATAAAACAATGGATGTTTTTTTTTGTTGACATTTTGAAATAATAAGGAATATTAACTTATGCGAAACGCTTTCCTTTTAACTCTTATCATGCCACAGGGCTAATTGCCATTGTGCCAAGCCCCGAATCCCCCCCCCCCCCCCCCGTGCCAGGTTGTTTTGGAGATTATCTGATAAACGCGCTGGTTCTATGAATGGCGAGTGCAAATTACATAGCGCAGTCCAATGAGCATGAACAATAACTGCTATTTCGAATGCTGCATTGCACGCACATGGCACTGAATAGGTAGGTCTCTCGCATGTACAAAGCAGCATAGCGATAGCGTGCATGCAGCCTTATGCCAGGCTATGAGTTAAATAAATAAATAGGGCTATTTTTTTTTCTTTGAACTTGATACCCACACCATGTTGCAATATGAAATGTGTGACAGTATGAGTGAGTCATCTTGCATTAAGAGTGTCTTCTAATGAAGATAACTTTCTGTCTCATAAAGCATACCAATATTCCTAAAAATTGATGTAATTATATGTTGCATGAGTTCGTTTGCGTGGGTTGGCGAGTGGTGCTCGAGTGTGAATCCTTGCAGCATCTAGCGCGGGCATCCAGAGGTTAGCGGCGATGACCGAATTAGAGATCTTGTAAGGGTTTGCATTCTTAAGTTGTCATACGCCGTAGATTCAACAGGTTGAGTTTGTGATCGTGTATCTCTTCAAGGATCTGCTCTTCCTCAAGAGTATCTATCATCTGGCGATATTCTGCTCTCAGTGGAGGAGAGATATTTGTCCAAAGTTTGCTCAATCTTTTTGACGTATCATCAGCAAAGGCCTCAAGGTCAACTATCTTTTTTTTTATCGTAACTGAAAGCTTTAATTTAGATCCGGCAATATCTAGATTTACTTTGTTTAGCTCATGGCTAATTTGTAAATTGGAATCCGAGTTTAATAAGTGATGAGGTGTTAAAATGTCACTCTAGAAAAGTTCTGCATGCTGAGGTTAGCATCAACGGGATATTGTCTTGTCCGTTGCGAGGTACATTTGAATCGATGTGGCTGTTACTTTCTCACCCCTCTTCCTCACTTTGTCCTCGGAGGTGGTATTTATTATGTCCAGATACCTATTGTGGGTGATGTAACGATGCCCATATTATTATTAACCAGGGATGCTTGTCGACAGCCGGGGAGAGTTGAGACACGTGCCTTACACGACAGCCGCCATTAAAATATTGATTTATTTACAACTTTGTTTTCTTCTTCTACTGCAGCAGCCCAGTAAAAAGAAGAAATAAAGTTTGGAAGGTCTTAGTATTCTACCGAAGGATGTATATACATGCGGATGTTATATTATATTTCTGTCTCTTATATGAAAGAATCTCCTCAAAGTACTTCCAATATTTGTTTTTATAGATTAAACGAAATAGAAGCCAAGTTAATGTTTTAATACAAGTAATGCACACTGTTTGAACTGTGAGTCGTCTAAGTCATTATCATTTCTATTATTTTACCAGTTTATTGCCCGCATATAGTATAATCATATACACGTATAACTCTTTCAAGGCAGCCACTTGAAGAAAAGAAGAAAAAAAGAGGACTTCTGTTCTTATTTGGAAAAAATATTAATTTCCCCCTCCCTTTACATGATAAAGTCCCCTCTTTTCCATCTTTTCCCCCTTACCTACCCACTTCTCTATTTATTTCATATGCATGCAGCTTCACGCTTTTTATAGGTTCCTTCCTTAACCATTATTCTCCAACCGGCTGTCTTTTTATTAAAACAATGGTTATCATTTCAATGAGGCAATCATTAATAAGTTTAAATGCAACCTAGTTATTGGTTTCACCAATTTAAAGCAAAGTAAAAAAAAAAAAAAAAAAAAAAAAAAAAACATCAGAAAATGAAAAATACAGTGTAAAAGGTTACACGCCTTTTATACCTCCGCGTATTTCAATACAATCTGAGAATGTTTACCGTTATTTAGATCTATTAGAAATCAATCATTGTCAAAATCATTCCATAAATTGGGGTAAAAATAACTAGTTCACCTTTATGACCAACAGTGTATTTACAAGAATTAGTTTCTTTTTGTTTTACTCCAAAAGAGAGCAATTCGCATGATTACAAACTCAAATTAATCGCATACGGAAATGTTATCTTTTAAAGACATTAAAACACAAGATATGCACATTTCTCAGACAAACATTTTTGTGTATAAATATTTTCATAATCAATTCCATTTGTTTACTATTTCGTATTCTATTTCGTATTTTTTGCATTTCCTTAATAGTTGAAAAGGCTATATTTGTTTTCTCTCCACCATATAACACAATGCTACGTGCACATCCATTATCCATTACACACACGCGCTCGCTCGCATACATACACACACACACAAGCAATATATACTCACACAACACATTCACATGAAATTAGTAATTATCGTCCAATATCTATTCTTCCTTGTCTATCTAAAGTTTTAGAGAAAATTGTGTATAATAGGTATAATAGGGGTAGTGAGCACATTTTTTTTTTTTTTTTTTTTTTTTTTTTGGGGGGGGGGGGGGGGTCCTAGACAATTTAAAAATTTGACCCCCCCCCAAAAAAGGTAAAAATCGCGTGTTTTTAAATGTTTTTTTTTCAAGGCCCCCCACCCCCTGGATCCGCCACTGCTGAATCGGTACAACTCAACACTTCGGGTTCGTAATAGCGCGCGAAATCTTTGACCGTTCTGACCTCATGGTGCTACGACATACCGCGCTATCTCACTGCAGTGTGAGCGCGATCCACGGTCCGCCCACGGTCCCCCCCTTGCGGTGTGAACACGCCCTATGTGTATATCCAGAAGGGTTGGAATCTTAAAAAAGTTTAAATGTCTTTTGCCCCATACTACGTTATTTTTTTAACTGTATAATACACCAGTACTTCCATATATAACATATTGCAATATTGTTTGGGCAAATTGTGGTGTAACCAAACTTAATTAAATTATTTTATTACCAAAAAAGGGCCTTGCGTATTTGTACTGGATCCCTTTTTTGGGGGCCCATACAGACCAATTGATTCTTAAGTTAATAACCTTAAAATTCACTGAGTTACATAATCTCCAAGATGAAATTTTTATACAGTAGGTTTGCGGGTGCACCATGTGTGTGTGTGTGAGAGAGAGAGGGTTGAGGAGTCCTGAAAAGGACTCTGACTCGGTAATCTTTCTTAGGGGTGTGGTAGTCCTGAAAAGGACTGTTTGTTATCTTTCTCAGCATATAGTTCTAAGGAGAACTATAGCGCTTGGAGAGGATGAGTGGCTCGACGTTTCGAACAGGTTGACTATCCGTCGTCAGGAGTGGAGAATGGCTGTCGTGCGTGAGCTTAAGTCACCGGGGTGCGGACGTCAGGGAAAAATATGTGACTGTGTTGGCTTGAGTCATTGGGAAGTGGGCATGGATGGTCGGCTGGTACGTCTGGGCTGGAGTCTTCGAGTTACGGACTTAGGAGAGTTTCGAGTCGATGAATGGGGTGTGCTGTCGGCGAGACGTTGTGTGTGTCCCCGACGTAGGCGGCGTTGTAGTCTGTTGTCGTCTGCTGTGTATCGTAGCTGTGAGGCTGGCGGCTGCTTTGAGGGTTCGGCGGTCGGCAGTGGTTGATGTACGGTTGTCTGTCGGGGTGGTGAGGGCGGTGCTGGAGGCGGTGGTGGAGGAGGAGTGACCGGGTACTTGTTGATGAGGGGTTTCCAGTTGTCATTGGTGTATAGTCCTGAGTCTTGGAGCACGGTGTTGTGGCGGTGAATTTCGATGGCTTCTCGGATTCGGTGTGTATCCCAGTGCTTCATTATGGAGATGAGATGACTGTTATCCCATTCGATGGTGTGTTCGTGTTGCTGGGTGTGTTTGACGACAGCGGAGTCTTGTTCCCAGATTTCTCCCCGTTTCACCAATGTAGACTTTTCCACATTCGCATGGTATTTTGTAGACTCTAGCTTTCTTGTGGTTTGGATGCTTGTCTTTGTGGGAGTATCGAATGGAGTTTTTTGGAGGAACTGTGTCGAACTTGGATGTCTGCTGCTTGAAGGATACGTTGAATCTTGTGAGAGGCTTGACCGATATAGGGAAGAACAATAGTTTGCTTCGGTGGTGTAGCTGCGGGTTGGTTCTCTTCAGGGGTGGTGTTGGCTTCGGGCTTGTTGGCGGGAGTCTTAGATTTGATCTTATGTCTTGGGTATTTGTTGATGCTAGTTAGGGCTGTGGTGACATGCTGGATTTCCTAGTCTAGATGGTCTGCATCGCTGAGATGATTGGCTCGGCAGATGAGGGCGTTGGGGACTGATTGTAGTACGGATGGATTGGGAAAGGATCTGTATTAAAGATATCTATCGGTGTGTGTGGGTTTCCTGTAGACTTGATGAGCGGGCTTGCCGGATGGTGATTTGGTAACGAGAACGTCTAGGAAGGGGATGTTGTTGTTTTGCTCGGTCTCCATGGTAAATTTGATGCTTGGGCGATGCTGGTTGATGTGGGCAAGAAAGTGGTCTAAGTCACGTCTGCTATGTGGCCAGATGACGAATGTGTCGTCAACATATCGGAGCCAGAGAGAAGGGCGCTGTGAGATAGTCTGGAGTGCCGTTGTTTCGAAGTGCTCCATGAAGATGTTGGCTATAACCGGTGAAAGAGGCAATCCCTTGGCTGCGCCTTGAAGTTGCTGGTAGTAATTGTCTCGCCATTTGAAGGAAGCTGAGTTGAGGCAGAAGTACATGAGGTCATGTATTTCATCCGGTGTCAGGGGGGTTCTGTCGGGGAGAGTGTCGTCAGCTTCGAGGCGTTCTTTGACGATTCGGCAGGATTCGGTGACAGGAACATTGGTGAAGAGAGATTCAACATAAAAAATGGCAATGATGTCTGTATTCGTGTATGGTGGTCTTGGAGAGGATATCGACGAAATGCTTGGAGTTATTGATGTGGTGCTGCGATTTTACTACAAGTGGTTGGAGAATCGTGGTCAGGTGTTTGGCTGTGTCATAGCAAGGTGATCCTCGGGTTGAAATGATGGGGCGAAGTGGAATGGTAGGTGTATGTATCTTCGGCTGGCCAAACAGGATGGGGCAGGTAGCTGAAGATGAGCGAAGTTTGAAGTAGAGTGGCTTGGATATGACTTCTGTTCTTTGAAGAGAGAGGAGTCGCTGGTTAAGTTTCCTTTCCGTTACTAGTGTGGGATCTTTCTTTAGTTTTTTGTAAGTCGGAGTCTCGAGGAGCGCACCGATCTTATTGTTGTAGTCCCCTTTGTTCAGAAGTACTGTAGCGTTGCCCTTGTCTGCCTGTAGAATGTGTATTGACTGGTTGCTGCGTAGATCTTTGATAGCGGCTCGTTCTGGTTTGCTAATGTTGGGTTGTGGTGGCTTAGCTGTGGATAGGGCTTGGGTGACTTGGAAACGGATTTGGTCCGCTGCGGTTCGGCTCAGGAATCTCAGTTTGGGTTCTACTTGTTGAATGACTTCTGAGAACGGGATCTTCTTGGGTGACAAGGCGAAGTTGAGACCTAACGATAGGACTTTGTGTTCGGTTTCCGTGAGTAGATGGTTGCTGAGGTTGATAACAGTGTCCTTGGTGCTGATTGGCGTAGTCTGGTTGGTTGATTTTTGCCTGTTAGCTAGAAATTTGTTAAATTTGACGATCTGCTTCTGTCGGGTTGACTGGAAAGTTTTTCCAGCTGTAGAGGTTTTGAAGGCCTGGCATTTCCGAAGATCAGCCGGTTCCAGTAGTTGGGAGAGGTTTACTTCTGATGTTTGGATGTCTTTCTCCATGGTATGGAGTTGATGGCGGGTGTTGGCGATGCGCTCCCTGACAAGGGCTTGCCCTGCCTTGTGTATGATCAGTTTTGCTCGTGGAGTGCTGATTGAAGACTTGAGTTGTAGTCCGGTTGGGTGATGCTTGAGTCACGGCAACGCTTGAGGAAGGTTAGGTGATTCTGGGGTTAGGCTTCTTTAACGTAGTTACGCTGCAGTTGCCGGGATGACACTTGGGTCGGCTCCCCGTAGAGCTGGGTTAGATGCTGCTTGTAAGTGTCGGCTGGCATGGTGATGTAGATATTCAGTAGGTTTGCGGGTGCACCATGTGAAATTTTTATGTTTAAATACATGAATAAGCAACGCCACCTTCATTCGATAATTTTTTTGTTCATAACAATACAATTCATACTTATCCAACTCGTATTTCTGAGAATTTTCATCTAACTAACCCAAATTGTTGATTACACATAAATCAATCAGACATCATGGCCCCGATTTATGGAACAATTTATCTAAAATAATTAAATCATGCTCGACTCTTTATTCTTTTAAAGCGACACTAGAACGTCACATTATATTATCATACAGAATCGTTTCTCATTAAACTTCGTCTCTGAATTCGAATATTTTTTTAATTTATTAATTCTTAAAAAAAACTAGTATTGGATTATGAACATTTCGTATCAGAATCCCAATCGCTCTTGCATATGCAATTTCACTGCACCCACTTGATCAATTTCGCGTGAACATTTATATAATTTAAGAGTTTGTCGATATTCTCTCGAGACCGCCATCGATTTCAAGCTTTCCGCTCATGATGGCGGTCTCCTGCGCTTTCTGTAATTTATCTATTTTCATTGACAATTATTTGTGTTTGTATGCATCTTGTAAAATGAAGAAACAATTGTTTCTTTATGTAGATGATTATGTTCTATTTTAAAAACGCAAAAATAAAAACAAACATCTCATACACAAAGATCGTATAAACAAATTTCCTTTAAAATTTCACCTTAAAGATAAACTTGAGTTCTGGTAAGAAAAAGAAAATGAATTCTCTCAGAATCAAACGAAACTTACACTGAATGTTCAAGATTACAAATAAATGTCATTTGCCAAACAATTTTGGTATATAATGTACACTGGCTGAGAAATGAGCATAGAAAGATAAGAAAATCAAGGTAAGTAGGCCCGACACCATTTATGTAGTCCCATATACTTTTGTTTGTGTACAGTGATTGTTACTCTATCAAGACTGGGCCAAATTTATTATGATTCTGATGACTCCAGAACTTTGCAGTACGCACCAATACTTACGTACTACATTATCAACTTTTCTGATCCATTTCACACCGTTTCTGTCACAATGCAATGACCAGAACTCATCTTTATCTTTAAGATTTTTTTCTTGGAGGCCGCCATCCTAGTGAAGCTTCGCTTATAATTGCGGTCTCCTGCACTTTTTTTTACAGATAGTTCGGATAATACTTAAAATTGTTAATAATATGAAGTTTCGTTATTATACGTGAATATGTAAGTTACATCTTGAAATAAAGTTACTTTTGCTTGCATATTTTATATAATGCCTTACATTTACATATTCGTTTTGTTATTCAGTTATTGTACTTATAAATCAGGTATATGCCATTAATTCCCCTTACCCTAAAGCATTCTGATCATCTTATTTAGATACATTTTTAACTTTGATGATGATTCGCATTCTAAAAATGTGTTTAAGGATCACCTCAATCTGAAACCCAACTCCTCATACGTCCCCCCCCCCCCCCACCCCTCATAAATTTATTTGAGGTTAAGGTGTGGAGTTATATACCAGGAAATTAACATGTTTTGTCCGAAATGTATGATGCATTGTTATTTTTCTTTTTGTCAGGGCCCATACTCCAAATGTCGTGAGACAATATCGAAGTTTCATACATCGTCTGCGTGATTGGCAAGGTAATAATGTATAAGTACTATAATATATAAGAGGATACATTTGTTTACCCAAAATAGACTTTATACCTCGCATCAGGTTGAGTAAAGTGTCCCATACAACAACTGTTTTGTTCTCTTTGTGACCAACTTGCCCAATAACAGTGACGTATCTGGGTAATTCGGGGTCAATCGATGAAATTGCTATCTACGCCCCCTTCCATTCCATCGAACTGTACACACGAGAGAGAGAGAGAGAGAGAGAGAGAGAGAAAGAGAGAAACTACATTTTCATAAGTCATTTAACCTACTTTGTCATCAAAATGCGCGCTTCCCGAATATAAAGGTATTAACAGGGATCTCCTTGGCTAGAGTCATCCTGATTTTATATTTTTTCAAGTGAGCTGGAATATAAAATAGTATATGTTTTCCTTTCAAATTTCGCAGCTTCTTCAATTCATTTGATAAAACACGATGGGGTTTTGGCTAAAACAAGCGCAAACACCTTTGTAGGGTGAGATATTCATCACAAATTGCACATCGGACATTCAATTTAGAATATTAGGAACGGGGTCTGGCCGTTGAAAAAAAAATCATTCCTTCAAGGGGGTTTGCCAAGGTTCATTTAAGTTCGTCGGAAATAGCCGAAAGGTAAACAAGGGACAATCAAATTCGCGAATGGGCAGTCGATTTCGCCAAAATTCCTACGAATAAATTTTTTTCTTTTTTGTAATTTTCAATGTTCAATACTTTATGTGAACTGATATTGCAACTTGGTGGATGGTCTGTTTAATTGCTTAATTGAAATTCAGATTATCAAAATTTAACTCATTCTCCGATTTAATTTTGATTAGATTGTCTAAATTTCAATCAAGGAAGAAAACAGATTATTCAACAATTTACATTTTGAGTTTACATAAGGTATTGACACTTCACAATTTATATAAATTAAACTAAATGTAAGCATTTATACACAGACTTCCCTACTGTTTTCTTTTCCAATATATAGGAGAAAATCATTTATATTCTAACAATTGCCTTCCTTAAAAATCAAAATGTTTTCTCCAACATTCAGTTTGGTTTCATAAAAAACAAACATAATACTATTCATGCTTTGCATCTTTTGTTGAGAAAGAAGCTCATTTTATTGACAAATCCTCCCATGAGTTTGGTATATTTCCGGACTTCTCCATGATTTGCCTTCGACACTATCAATCATAATATATTCCTTTATAAACTATTACATTGTGGTGTACTTGAGAAGGTTTTGGAATTATTCAGGAATTACCCTTTTTTAGAAAGCAATATGTCTTTGTAAATGATTGTTCATCAGATTTGTGTAATATTAACTGTGGTGTTACGCCAATAAGCCTCCTAGGTTCCCTATTATTCATTTTGTAAATAATGATATCTGTAGATCATCCAATATTCTATCCTTTATACCTTTTGCTGACGACACAAATCTGTTCTACTCAGACGGCAATTCATACAGTCTGCTTCAAACGATTACTTCTAAAAATGTTACAATGAATTAGAGAAAACAAACTTTCACTTAATCTCCCCCCCCCCCCAAAAAAAAAAAAAAAAAAAAAAAAATTAATATAAAATAAAAATGAATAAATAAAAAATAAATACATGTTATTTAGCAAATCTATTGACTCATTGTTATTTAATATTGTCTTTCAAGATTTCCCGTTGAAAAGTGTTTCTCACAAAAAAATTACCGCTGACAATAAATTTACCGGGAAGTATCAAATTGACAACATCTGTAAAACTATTTCTAGGTATAGGTATTATATATGAATTAGAATACTTTCTTCCTTCAGCTTCCGTATTAATGCCTCATTCCTCTTTGGTATCACCATTTCTATATTATGGACTTCTGGTTTGGGGAAATACGCACAAAACTTAGCTGGACAGAGTTTATTGTTGCAGAAAAAAGCTCTCCGTTTTATTTGCGATTCTCACGCACTTTTCCATACAAATCCCTCTCTCCTTTTTAAATAAAAAAATTAAAACCTATATCTCTTCCAGTAAGGCCAGCTTATGTATACATACAATAATAACATGTTACCCCTTGCCTTTCATGATATGCTCTCAATTTGTTGTTCTTTCTATGAAGCATCCAACTAAATATTGTTGTGTATTTCATTTACAACTTCTACAAAATCTTTCTGGCTCAAAACACATTAATCTATACAGGTCCCACATTTCAGAACACTCTACGTAATGATATCAAACTTACCTCATCAATCAATTCATTAAAGAGAAAATTAAAACCGTTTCTGTTACAATCTCATAACAAAATAAATGTTTGCGTAATTACCCCGAACCTTTTTTCATTTATATACTTTTTTTCTCACGTCGCGTTCTTTGTCTTACCTTTTTTAAATACACATCTGGTCATTGTAAAGAAGCTATTGAATAAAGACTAATTAAGACATTTTATTTTGCAATTGTAACCCTTAGCGTGGTTTTAATTTGTGGTAATATTTATATATTAAAAAATTGATTACCGTTACAGTTTCGATAGATAAATACAACTGCCTCAGGCGTTTCATTACCGTTGATATTTTTTTATAGGACACTTTCCACTCGCAGTCATTACCCACGTCGATGAAGTGTCAGCTAAAGAAGTACGACTGGCTCTCGAGACTGGAGGAATTGGAGATATCTATGGAGTTGCTAATATCACATCCGGCAGGAATGGTAGAGATACGCTTACCCCAGAGCACCAATATCAGCTACTACAGCTACTTGAAAAATGCTTAAAGGACGGGGATATGGTCTTCATGCGCCGACAGGGAATCGGAACTGGATAGTAATTTGCGTCTTTCTGAAGTAATAATTAATCATGTTCTTTTAAAATAAGAGTGCTTCCTTTGTTAAGTCCCTGCTAATCAGTAACGTATTCAATGTCATGTATCAATTTTTTTCTAATCTATTCGTTTTTTTGTAATTATATACTTTATTTGTTTGTAAACTTATGTATTAAAGGCAGTATGTAATTTAGTATGTTTATAATTGCCGTTTTACGTCCTTATATTGTCTCTAATATATATCTTTGTAGTAATGAATGAACTTATTTTGTTTGTATATATATATCGCTACACAGTGTTTTCTATATTTCCAAATGAAAAAAAAAACAAAAAACATGTACTATAATTGTCGTTGCTTTAGAATAAAGACGGCCCTTACTATTAAGTTTTAAATCTTTGAACAAAGCATTCAACAACTAACCAAGTTTGGTTAAAAGTAAAATATAAAAGAACTAAACAGGTTTCTTCTCGAGCTATCTTAGAATAATAGCTCACATTTAAAAAGCGCCTAATACTGTGTTTCTAGGCGCAGCACATATTATTACCCCGGTCATCGGATTCATGCTTACCCGCACACAAGGTATGCACACTCTCCACTCCCTGCGAAGCATTCCAGCCAGTCGCCATTTTACAAGCGCCATTGCTAATAAAACCACATTAGCTTTCGCATCCTACCGGGTACCCATTTAACACCTGGGTGGATAGTGGCAAATGTAGATCAGTGTCTTGTCAAAGGACATTAGTGCCGCGATGGGACTTGAACCGCGGACCTTGTGATCCACAGTCCGCTGACATATCAACTCGACCACGACACCTCTACAGAAGATAGCTAATGCTCTGAATTTTTTGTTTGTTTTTTGTTTGATTGAATTTAATAACGATTCTTTTTTTGGTCGTTTATATTACCTAGCTACACGATGTACTTTGGATATTTCAGAATGATTTGTGTTGATGTATACTAGTCGCAGCTTTAATATATTAGTAGTCTGTAATATTCCATAAAAACATCTGAAAATAATTTATCAACCAATTAAGAGTTTGGGTGATATACATGTATATATGTGTACTCTTTATTCAATAAAAATAATCAAACCAGAAGAATTTAACATTCAAATCCCAAGTTCATGACATAGTTTAGTACGAATTACAAATGTGTCATTGGCAGGGTGCAAACAAGCTTCCATAAAGCATACACATTTTGTTCTGTATTATAATTGTGTTTTAGTTTGTAATGTCTTGTTTATAACGTTTTGTATATTGATTTTATTGTGAATTTTAATGTGTTTTTTTCTTCCACATTTGTAATTTATGTTATGGGTCCACCCACTTCCCTCAAGCCATCGGCTTTATCGGGTGGTGATGAACCAGTACACTTTTCTATGTTTGTATATGAATTGAGATTGAAATTGAAACAAAGTGCAACATAAACTTGGAACATAATGAAATATAAGACATATTTTTAACAAATCAAGAAAAGCAAACATAATATTAAAGACATCAACGGTTATATTAAAGCAAGTTTAATAACATGCAAAATAATAATAAAGAAAAAAGGGCTATTTGTTATAGATTATTGTAATTGTACTGTAAATTTTGAAGATTTCTGTTCTCATAGTACTTACTAACTTTTTTTTCTTTTTGACAGCCCCCCCCCCCCCCCCCAAAAAAAGAAGAAAGAAAAAAAAAAAAGGAGAAAAAATATGATGTTTTGACATTGGAAAATTATCATTAGAATAATAGTTTGCCACATGTTTTGTGTAATAAGGGATGTAAATTATAAGAAATATATTTTATTTTCTTAAATATGATTTTAAATTTGACGTTTCTACACAAGTAAATATGGCCTAATACGACGGCAAAAATAACACTTTACTGTACTTATATCGAATTATCATGATAATACATATCATTTGTTATAAACAGATGAATACTCTTCATTTGTGAATAAATAAACAACAGTACGAATGTAATGGACCTTATGAATTTGGTTCAAATGAATATATTAGAAGCATATGCAATCCTACAATATTCAGTGATCGTTGTCGCGGTTGAAATTGAGTCTTAAGTGATGAAATTGTAAATAATAAACTCTTTATGTTGTATAGCTCCCTCTCAAGGTCAATTTATTAATTTAGCTATGAAACAATGTTACTTGACTAAAATCGACCGATTTGCGATTTCCGTTCGGAAATAATACATCACAAGTACATAGTCTGAGATTTCCCTGGTCGCAGCTACCATTGTACGGTCGTAGGCGCTATTTGACATTTATCAAAACTTACCGGGAGCACGGGTAAATTTTGATATTTAATTTTTTCAAAAGCAGAAGAGTTCTAGTGCTTATAAAACATCCTCAAGGGAATCCAAACATATCAAAATTGTAAAGAATCACGAGTTCAGAAGCTTTCGAGTAAATTTTAGTTGTGTGTCTGTAAAGTAGCACCGTTAGGTTTTTAATTTTATCACAGTGCAGTATAATACATTTATAAAGTAGCTACGCAATGCAAATTTATGTAATTATTATTACTACAAAATATATGAATATATCGTCATTACGTA